ACATTAAAAAAGGTCTTGTGCCACATTCGATCCCCGTGGGTGGACTTATAAATACCATAATGTAAATAGTGTACATAATACCTCATCTTAGAAATATAGACAGATACTGAAAGGCCGAAACATAATAACTATGGCGACAAAGATGAGGACAATAGTCCGAATAATGTAAATAGTGTACATAATACCTCATCTCAGAAATATAGACAGTTACTGAAGGATCAGATAAATATGGCGACAAAGATGAGGACAATTGTCCGAATAATGTAAATAATGTACATAATGTACATAATACCTCATCTCAGAAATATAGACAGATACTGAAGGATCGGATAAGTATGGCGACAAAGATGAGGGCAATAGTCCGAATAATGTAAATAGTGTGCATAATACATCATCTTAGAAATATAGACAGATACTGAAAGATCGGATAAATATGGCGGCAATGATGAGACCAATAGTCCGAATCATGTAAATAATGTACATAATACCTCATCTCAGAAATATAGACAGATACTGACAAATCCTAAATAAATCCAAATGCCCAAAGAGATTTTCCTAACTTCTCTTAGCTTATTCCATGAAAATATTAATTTAACGTCCGATTCAATATCGCTCTATATTAATGATTCTTAACTGTTTTTGAGTCACGACCCCCTTTAGTCTCAGACACCTTGAGTCACGGACATTAAGATCTAGCTCTTCGCAGTCATATATACAGGCAAGTAGATGCACACAGTTTGGTTCGTTTTACAAAATACTTTTACGTGTATTTATCCATACTGTACACTCATACACATTGCCCAGGCATCAAACCACGCTTGAAAGAAACTATCGTAAATTAATCCTCACCTGCATATAAGACGCCGTGATAAATTCTGGGAAATGATAATTTTCACATATTCTGATGGAGTGAGAAACAATGGCGGTCGTGTAGAGAAACGTTTAAATGGTAAATATGGAACCAACAGCAAGCCAAGTGACACCTAGCGGTTGGCTATGTAAGTACTGACTGGGTGAGCTTTCTTTCTACCAGTGGCAGGATGAATTTTCTTTTATTCTTTCAATGGCATACGAGAAAGGAGATACAATCGTTGTCCCCGTTTTCAAGACGTAGGCGTTCATGATCCTCCCCACCGTCCTGTTCCTTGTAGCTTTTAATAAGTTTTGTCCTTTCGTTATTTCTTCCATAACCTGTTCTATCAACTCAAGCTCAAGTATGTTGCTTTCTATTGTCAGGCTTACCCTCAATTTGTTTTGTGAGTATCAGATTTTCCAAGCCCAGCTCCTTATTATGTTCCCCAGATACTTCGAAGGTCTTTTAATAATTTTAAGTTTATTTTTTGTTTCCATTTTCAATAAAAACCTCGTCTTTGCTCACATGTTTGGTCCATAGTATCATCAGCATCTTTCTGGAGTGAATATAAGTTTTTGTTTAATCCTCACGGACCACCTAAAACCTTTTTATGGACCCTTCTCTATATTCATCAACACAAATGGCTGTTAAGAAGTCACTACTCAAATACTTACTTCTCCATTCATGTTGCATTTGTGTTGTTTGCTTAAGGGCGGTGGTTCAGTTGCTGTCACGTCTTTGTCTAATTTTCTTAACCTCCTGCAATCTTTCCCTGTATATGCAAGTGAAGATTTTTCAAATAAATCCTTGCTGGTCAATCGACCTCTCTTGCATAGCCCCTTTACCTTTCAGTGGCAGAGTTTAATCCATTTGGTTTTTTTCTTTAATTTTCAAAGTTTTCAATTTCTCTTTGTAAAGTTGGGGTTTCCTCTCTATCTCTCTCTCTCGCCCGATATATATATATATATATATATATATATATATATATATATATATATATATATATATAAAATACCAATTGGTAATTGGTAGGAATAATTCAAGGAGGACATTAATCCAAAAAGAGAGCTCAATGTAAGTAACAGATCCATATAATAATAATAATAATAATAATAATAATATTAATAATAATAATAAGTAAAAACAATCCTTGAAAATCCATTTCGGTTATAATTTATTTCATGAATATATTTATTTAAATATGCATCTTTTCCAACTGAAGGTTTTTTTAGATTTCTAAAAAAAAAAACTTCGGTTGGAAGAGATGCATATTTAAATAAATATATGTAAATATATATACCAAACGTATATATATATATATATATATATATATATATATATATATATATATATATATATATATATATATATATATATATATATATGAAAATATAATATGTGAAAATATATAGAAAATAGGAAGGAACTGGTTAGGTAAATAATCCAAAGTCCCTTAGTATTTTAGTTATTATTTTTAAAAAATAGTGCTCGATACAAAAGTTGAGCATAAATATAATTATTTATTTAAAATATGATTCCAAATCGCGACATAAGAAGTCCCATGTTTCAAAACAAGAGCCGAAAACTTCAATATAATTAATTAAATTATTTAAATTATTTAAATTAAATTGAGTTAAAATAAGCTCTCTTCAAGCGAAATTTTTTTTCGAATAATATATATATATATATATATATATATATATATATATATATATATATATATATATGGTAGACCGACAGCCCAGACAATAGCAACTATTTGAAGGACCGAATACAGGTTTTGAATTGTTCTTATATATATATATATATATATATGTGTGTGTTTGTATATATATATATATATATATATGTGTGTGTATATATATATATATATATATATATATATATATATATATATATATATGTAGGTACCTTGATTTGCACACATATATATATATATATATATATATGTAGGTACCTTGATTTGCGAGTTTAATTACTCGTATGTCAAATCAATTTGACATAGTATCAAATCAATTTACCGCATTGAAATGCTATTAATCGAAGCTGTACCCCACTTTTACATGCATCTAAATAAGAAAAGATATATTTATAAATAACGAATATTGTTTAAAACACAATACAATAGAATCTGCAGCAAAAAACAGGTTTTATTAAATATAATGTACAGTGTTTACCTTGGAGATCACCCAACTTGAAGATGCTTGAGGAGGTGGAGGGGTAAGGTTAAAGTGAATAGCTACGTCTTATTCGCTGATCTTTGCCCTTTTCGACACTCTTTTCTCACTTTTATCTGAAGGATTTTTTTTTATACAACCCGGTCCAATGAGATCTGTGTTATCCTCCCCTTCAGAATGTTTCTGAAATGACTTGGGAAAGTGATATTAAATAACACCGTCATTCGGCCAATTTAACTTTTTCTGGTTGTTTCTTTTGAATAGAGTATGAAAGTTTCTCCCACATTAACACCATTTCCTTCATCTCACTTGTAGAGATAACCTCCTCGGCGTCACCTATTTCCCCCATGTGCTGCTGTGTCTCTAAGACCCCCCCCCACTCTGAAACTGACGTTGGAAGACACCGTCTATTTCCGTATAGTGCAAATCATGGAAGTTCTACGCTCGAACTGATTCGTCAAGTCGACTACATGCTCACTTTAGTTTTGTTTTATGATAAGTGCTTTAATTTGGTTTACTTTGTTTAGTTATACTGCATATCAAATTCAATGGGTTATTTAATGCCGATAATATTTCTATTGCTGTTAATATATATATATTCTCAAAAATGTATTGGTAATATTTATTTCCTTCAAAAATATATTGCTTGTAATAACGTATTACCAGTAATAATGTTTCATTCAAACAATTTATTCCGTCCTGGGTATGACGATAAACTACATCCGCGTCTTTGGTACGACGATAAACTACATCAAGCAAAAGGCCTCTGATCAAGTTTTGAGGAGCGTGGAACCACCTCTTAATTGCTAGTGTTCCCAGGTCCGCCCTGACCCGGGTTGGTAGCACCTGTTATGGTCCCAGCTATGGGCAAATAGTTAACCCCGAATCTGGAGTCAAAACACCATGAAAGTGTAAAAATAGGTTTTAATACCAGAACTACTTAAAAAAATTATTACCAGTAATACTGTTTTGAAAAAAATAAATATTACCAACAATGTTTTTAAAAAATAAATATTACTAGCAATACATTTAAAAAAAAAAAGAAAATATTACCAGCAGAAATAGATTTTTGACAAAACAAAATATTACCAGCAATAAAAATTTTGTCGGCATTAAATAACCCATTGAAGTTTATACGCTGTCAAAGAAACCAAGCCAATGAAATAATTTATTGCTGGTAGTAAAAACTATTTTTACACTTTCATAGATGTTTTAACCCCAGTTTGGGGGTTAACTGTTTGTCTATAGCTGGGGGGCTAACAATTGCTACCACTCTAGGTTAGCAATTAAGTGATGGCTCCACGCTCGTCAAAATCTCCTGATCATACGCCTTGCTGTTGGACGTCGTTTATTGTCTTACCCAGGACGCGTATGTAGTCTATCGTCTTACCCAGAACTCGCTAATTTCTTACTTTAGTTCAATTTAAATCTTCTGATTCTTCTTTTTCTCAGTACTGTCCTTCGCTCTCACTTTCTTCGGACGCGTGGTTGGCAAAACGAATTTAAAAAAAATATATATCTGCAAGCAAAAAATGCGAGCACAGCACCGATGCTTCTGTAAATCCCGCTGGAGTATGCGAGAGTTTTGCTTGCGAGAGAAAGAAATTAATTAGACATTGAGAAATATTCAAAGCTTTATTTTCATATACAAGGTATGAAAATGGATCTGTTAAGTCGTATATTACAGCGTTCGAATGTATGGTGTACGAGTTGTGAAGCGAGAACGAAAGAAACGTCTTTGCTTAATCTGTCAGTTTGCTATCGGTTTATGTTTTTTTTTTCTTTCTTAACTGAATTCTATTGTTTTTTCGATTGTGTTTAGTTTATCTACAAAGTCAAGTAAAGTAGTTTTGCGTGGATATATTAATAGAGCATCATCAATTTATATGTTGTTTAGCTTAAATATTTTGAGACAAGTCCACTACGATCACACCATCAGTCATGCTGAAAAGTTCCATCTACCCATTTCATCCCATGATCCCGTACTATCACAGAAGTTAAGCAACGCCGAGCCTGGCCAGTATTTAGATGGGTGAACGCTGGGGAATAACAGGTGCTGTAAGCTTGTATGTTTTGGTAGTGTAATAGAAAATTACACGGAATTGGATATCGTAGAGCCAAGTTTCAATACCCGTTGTGTTTGTTGATATATATTTCAACAGACTACCATTCGGAGTAAAAGTTGCACCAGCAATTTTTCAGCAAACGATGGACACAATGCTCACGGGCCAGAATTTTGCGACCGCTTATCTGGATGATATTCTAATTAAGAGCGACAATGTTGAAGAGCACACATCACACATAAAAGAAGTTTTCAGAAGACTGCAAGACTTTGGGTTCAAAGTAAAAGAAGAAAAGTGTGATTTTTTCCTAAACGAAATTAAAAAATGCTACCCCCCCTAAAAAGGGGTTGTTATTCGGTCCTCCCCTTTTTCATGGACTCGACCAGTGTTACTTGGACTGCTGCCGTTAAATACCCAGAGTTAGACAGTCAGAGAGATTGAAATTGTAAAAAGACTGAGATTGTGATTGAGTTGGAGGTAGAGTAATAGTGTGAGGTAACCGCTTGTAGAAGACAGTTACAAGCCCGTAGACTTTAAGGAAGTCTTACTTCGAGAATGTATATATCTATATATTATTGCTACTAACCGCGTTCCTGGATTTACTAACAGTATTACTCATTGTATTATTGTGTAAATACATTTTATTTCTTATCTTTAATTATTGCGTTTGTCATTCATTGAAGACCGAATTTCATCTCGGAATGTTACAATATAATAATATATATATATATATATATATATATATATTAAACATATTTCATTAAATAATATAGAAAATGCTGCCTAAATACACATATATATATATATATATATATATATATATATATATATATATATATATATATATATATATATATTAACAATGCTATACACTTATGTGCAAATACTGTTGGGAAAGGTATGAATAATTCTTTTCTCTCCCAGTTAAGAGTCAGTAAGACTTGTATCATTAACCAATATTATCCCCCCCCAATAAATATTCTTGGAACCTAAAAAAATTGCTGGCTTTAAATAACCTGCAAAAGATTGATGAGCCGTAGAAAACGAATCAGCTGAACAACCTCCGGATCGATGATATCAAAATTCAACACTCTGACATATCGACCATAGTGACATTTTCATGGTCGGATAACAAACATTCTAACCACTCAGCCTTACATACAGAACTGCATAAATATATATATATGTACGAGCAATGGCAATTTATTTACACGAATGAAAACAGCCTTACGCTGGGCAAATGAGTCACCTAAAAGTCAGATTTTCACTTTTACTTTCTGTTACCAGCGTACTGATTGGGATTCATTTTGTGATTTTATTCGATACACCACTTAGATTGATATTCTTAACCTTCCTATTGATAATTATGCTACTGAGATTTCTTGGCGTTGATGCTTTTTCCGAGCGTAACAGCATAATATTTCCGATTACAACAGATACCTATTTGTTTCTACTCGAAATAATTGTAAACGTGTCCTAATTAATTGCTGATAGAACTTATAGCCTCTAACAAGTTTGTTAGTGTGTTAAATAAATTCCTCGTTTCAATTCGAGATGTTAACACCTGTTGTTGATAAAGCGGGATGTTTTGCTCGTAAATTCTCTTCAAATTATACCCTTGATTCACCAGGAGTATCTTTGCCTGACTTTCCACTCAGAACTGAGTCTCTATTGAGTGATATGCACATAACTCTGTTCATGGTTTTCTGCTATCAACTCTTAACCGGATCCTCACAATGCATGTGGAATTGATGGTATCTCTGCAATAATCTAAAAGGTGCTCCAGAACTGTCTCCTGTTTAATATTATTTTTTAAATGTTTTAAAAAACTCTTCACCCCAGGCAAGGCGAGAGTGCAACTAGCACGCAAGGGGTTACAGAAATTGAGGGCAAGAGTAAAGAGGCGTTAGAGAGTAAAAAATGAAGAGAAGGACGGGCAATAGTCCAAAGCATCTGGAGATATCGTTTGACATTGCATTTGAATAGTTGAAGATTATAGCTATCAGAGAAGCAAGTAAGAAGAAGGGAGTCCCATACACGGTTACGTGCGAGATATGAAGCTATTTAAGTAGAAGAGACGGCTAGATTTAATCGTTTCGACAGTGAAAGGGTGAGACCGAGATGCCGATCTAGTGGTACGTTTAAATTCAAAACGAGATGCCAGATCAGGGCCAACTACATTGTATACTCCTCTCTGGATTGTATCGATGACTCTAAGACGAACAGCAGGGGCTCCAGACAATATATGACATCAATAATCCATGCAAGGGTGAATGGTTGATTTATAGATTTAAAAGATGAACTAGGACGAGAAAAACTTTCTGACGCAACACAGAGAACCAACTTTCCTTGCAGTAGATGAAGCTATTGATTCAATGTAAATATTCCATCTGAGGCCAGCGGTTAGTCTCAGATCAAGCAGTCCCCGTGAAATACTCTTGTGTACTTTAGGTTGGTCTTTAAGAACTCAGGCGAATCTTCTGATACTTGTAACTAGCTGCTTATGTGCCTTCTACCAAAATACTAGTGTGGCACCATGCATCCAGGCAGAGAAAGAAAGGCAAAAAGGGAAAAGGAAAGAAAAGAAGAAAGGAGGGGAAAAAGTAATGCGAGACGGATCATAGGTGATAAGCGAAAACACACACACGGCTTAGGAGGCAATAAAAAAAAGGGTTATTTTGGATAAGTAGCAAATGGCGAAAAGAGTGTCATTACAATGACAATGAGATTGAGTGGGTAGGGAAGTGTTATCTAAGGGTATGAAAACAAACTATTGGTACGAAAAGGCATCTTATTATCAAAACACAGGCCACCGGCCAAGGGAAAAATTCAAGCGAAAATGTTATTTCGATAAGTGACGACAAGAAACAGGCGACTAAAAAAGATTTTGGACAGATATGAAAATTAAAGACCACCTGCGAGCAATCATTGACCGATTTTCCTACTTGGCCTGCGCGAATGGAATTGTGTTATCAAGAAATGTTCGCCAAAGAAAGTCCACTTGAAAACGTTAGATTTTGATAATTGACAAAACACAGGTGTAGGTACGGAGCCTTAGCTAGATATGGAAAATTAAAATCCCACACAAGCAGTCTCGCTAAAACAAACATTTGCCCTGCGATAATAAAATTTTGTTATCAGACACATGAACCGAAGGAAAATGAATGGAATAAGAAATGTTTTTATTTCTTCCTTGGAGACGTCAGACCGACTGAAAACTTGGAGAAAATTCTTTTCTGAGGACATGTCATCTGATGAATTGGCGATAAACTGCTTGACAAACGCCACATGTTGAACAAAGAGTTGTCATATTATCCGTTCATGATAACGGCGATTTGAAAGGAAGAAAAAAAAAAGGAAAGAGAAGGGATAATTAAATTTTTAGTTAAGCAAGGTATTTTTTTTCCCGAAATAAAGCCGCGGGTTGTTCACGCCCGACTAAGACGTCATTGGTCAAGTGGTGATCACATGACGCACGTAGGAGGAGGAAAGATACCCAACCAAGACCTCATTGGCCGAGAGTGATCACGTGACGCACGAAGAAGGCTGTCGACAACCCCATCCAGAGTATAAGTATGAGAAGCCGCTACGAAGAAGTGGGGAGGGCAGTTCACGCCCCTCAGAAGCATGGTGAGAAAGTGGGAGTGAGAAAAAAAGTTACCAAAAATGGAAAAGAGTGGAAAATCCCTAACCAGAAATAAAAGAGGTGGATATGTATTTAGAATTATCGAGGAACTCCCCGACGCCAACAGACCCAACCCGGTTTTTGTCGGCGGCAATAAAAGCCAGGCCCCAACAGGCAGAAATCAGTTCGAGCCTTGACGGCAGAGATGAGTGTCCAGTAGTTCGAGCCTTGACGGCAGAGATGAGTGTCCAGTAGTTCGCGCCCTGGCAGCAGAGATGAGTGTCCAGAAAGTTCGTTCGGCCCTGGCGGCAGAGATGAGTATCCAAAGTTCGAGCTCCAGAGTTGAAGCCGCCTCAAGATAGCTGACCAAGATTCACGCAAAATTTTGGACTCCTCTTCAACCAAGAACAATTATTTTGAAGAGCGACTTAGGACCAGTCCACCGAAATGTTTTTCGACTTTCGTCCAAAGACACACCGAAACACAAATTTTCTTAGAGAGCAAACAACTTGAAGCGTTAAAACTTGCCTAGCAAAAACGACGTGTCACAATCCACAGAACGGGTCGGGAGATAGATGCAGTCCTATGTATCGAACAACTAGACATAAAGTTTGTTACCTTTTTCTTTGATACTTTGAACTTTTTGAGTTTTCATTTTATTTTCTTTTATGCATATTTGTGTGTTATCACCCCGTTGAACTCAATTTGCATTACGGCCCCAACCCCTGTTTGATCTCGTCTGTCTAAGATCAATTCACAACGTGGGTAGGCAGACTGGAGATCAGTGCAGTTACCTTGGTAACCAGGCGTTGGATGCGAGTTGGGAACGGCGAGGCTGATATCAAATCTAACCAGATTCCCACCCGAATCACCAAAAGGTTAGAACGTCACATTTGGGTGCCGCGACCGATACCAAGCCAGTTGGTCGTCACAGTACGAGACAACACGACTGACGCGACAGGCGAACGTCACGTTTGGAGCAGCGACACCCGGACGGAGCAGCGAAGAGCAAACAGCTGGCGCCGCGGCGAAGATGTCACAATTGGTGCTGTTTAGGGACGTCACAACTGGCGCCGTGGTAGATCAGGATAGAACGTCACAGTTGGCGCTGCGACCGGGGGTCGACGTCACACTAGACGCTCTAATAAACTCTGAATTGGTTAAGCATCTCAACTCACAGGGTCTTTTTTCAGATGAGCAATATGTCTTTCGCTTCTCTAGGTTAACTGCTGATGTGTTAACGATTACTGCAGTAAGTATTTATTAAGCTTTAGATAAGAATCGTGAAGGTTGAGCTGTTGCTTTGGATATATCGAAGGCATTTGACAGGGTTTGGCATGCTGTTTTTTTTACAAGTTGAAATCTTATGGTATTT